GGGGGTGCTGCTTGAGGTGTATGTTGTGGAGGCGCCATTGGTGCTCAAGGAATGGTTGCAAATGTTGAACGAGGGATGGCGGAAGCCCTTGTAGTTTGAGCCATTTCGTGTAGGCCGTCTGGAAGATGAGAAAGTATCGAGCCTTGCTTGGGTAGTAGGTGCTGTTCATATTGGCGTTGAGAAAAATGCCGAGATGTGTAGGGAGTTGGAGTTGGTCAAGTGTAAGAATGTAGTGGCCGTTGATGGTGGGGGTATCGGGATCCTGCAGGAGGGTGCGAAGATGATCGCATGCGCAGGGGAGGTCTGCTGGATCTGGCGGGGAGTGGAGGGTCCTCCCATGTGCGGTGGTTATGCAGGTGCCTGAAGCCTCAACGTCCTACGAAAATGAATGCCTTTCAAAAAATCAAGGTTTCTGAATTGAAAACCAGGTTTTTAAGTTAGAGGGTCGTACTTTCTAAAGGGGTCGTACTTTCATGTTGTCCATCAATGGCATCATGGTTTCCCATGATTGGACTCTCAATTTCCAATAAACCAGGCTTTCATGGTACAGCTCTTTCCACCTGAACGGGCATGCAGCAAAAGAAGCTGCCATCACTTGATCAAAACAATTAGGAAAATCAGTGGTGGTGCAAATCCCCTGGAAAAACAATGAGTTCAATCAACCTTTATCACCCTTCATCCCCGCTCGCTCAAACAGCCAGCGTTTTTTGAAAGCCGGCGCTGGCGATCTTGATTGACCAAATGGTCAGGGCCTTGGCTGATGAGCTGCAGAGGGGAGAAGGTCAAGATTCAGATACTGCAGTGGCACTGCAACCCTGTTCCATGGTGTACCCCTTTTAACTCAACCATGCGTATAATATATGCATCGCGGCTTTGCAAACGAAGCTGTGGGCTATATCTCTGTAACATATCGACACGGCCTGTAGGTGCACCTGTAGTGATCCCGGGTCACCCCATACATGCCTACAATGCTCATGTTACTGCACTAGAGCATGCATACCAGTGTCAGCGATCCAGCAATTGCTGCATCTTTCCTGGCTCCAGAGTCCATATCAAGATCGTGCTTTTTGACGCCTCAGAGGCATCTTATAGTCTCGACCCAATGGCTGCAGAGTCCTTTTCCTGCAGGTTGTTGTCCGGCTTGGCTGAGGAGTGGGATGCAAAGGCCATACTTCGGGCACGCATTAGGAATGAAGGCATCCTTTTTTTGAGAAAAGTCAAAGGTGATGCTCTTGCTATCAATGTCGCCGGAGCGGAGCATAATGTTGATGTCCTGGCCCCTTTGATCCACAAGGCGACTGTGGCGGATGGTGAGCTTCACTTGTGCACTGTTCCAGACTTTGAGAAGCAGCCACCCGTCCCAGTAAAAAGACGGGCTTATATGATTTTGTGTTTTAGCAGACCTCTGCCGCTTTTCTTCTCAGTGCAATGATCTATAGACTGAGGTATCGAGTGCACAGTGTGAATCAACTTAAACTTAGGATTCTGGCCTTGCACAAGTCGGCAAAAGGCGAGACCGCCCCCATAGACAAGAAGGAGGTGAAATTGGATGCATGGTTTTGCAAGAAGTTCTGTGTCCTCATCAAGCGGAAGTTGGGCCGCAAGCAGAAGCCCCGTTCAGCAGCATTCCGATACCTCTTGCAGATCGTTTCACCGCAGGAGTGGCCGGCTTTCATATTTTCTCTTTGGTGTTTAGTTACTTGGCTCTAAAGTTGGACGTAGACAGCAATAGAATGCTTCGTTTGTGCACTTACCTTCTCCACGCTTTCTTTTGTCAGCACCTATTCACCTGTGGAGGCTTTCGGCGCCGAGCCGGATGATGCTGGGAGCGATGATGATGCAGTGGAGGAAATTGAAGATTCCGAAGCTGAGGG